GATTTTCTTACTTCCTCCAGAATAAGTACTAAATAAATGTTTTGGGATGATTTCAGATTAATTTTATTATATATCACATCCACGTGGAATTGCTGTATTGAAACATCATGTAATGCTTTTCCGTCATATTTTCTTGGGTTGAATATAAGTGTACGTTTATGAAGGCAGTGAACAATCCCCAAGTTGTGATGGGCAAGGTGGACTCTTTTCTCCCAGACTTACATTCCCTTTGATGGACGGCAACCAGTTGGACGAGCTTAACATCTTTTAGAAGCCTCTGTTTTTCCTTCCTTCCTTCTCACATCAGTTTTAGCATCTCAGGACGAGCTTCCTCTTTGCCCTGTGTGTTGCAGCTTAGTCTACGCCCTTACCGCATCTCTCCCAGACACCCCTAGATAACTTAATTAGCCTCTTACTGGTTACCCCACTGCCAGTCTCTTCTCAGCTCAGCATTTTCTCCACATCGCCATCGGAAAGAAAGACCTTAGAAACCGTGTCTGGACGTGGACTGCTGTGCTTAAAATTCTCCCTTTGTGTCCTTTTATCTACAGCACAGATTTTCTACCTTAGTAGTTGTTTCTTTGTATCAGATAACACGTCAGGCCCCTCCTCTTTTACATTATGTCTTTTGAGAATTCTGTACTTTCTCTTTATTAGTCAAGAAAATTTTAATTGTTGCTTTCAACACTTGTAGTAGGAAAACATAGAATATCAAATTTGCTTTTAAAACCTGTGCGCCTCCTTCCTGTCTCCACTTGAACTTGACAGTAGTTTAATACAGAGAACCATCAGGGCTCTATTTACCTCATCGGCTTATCAGCTGTAGTAATTAACTTGAGCACTCGATTGCTTTCTATTTGGCAAGCAAGCATGGGGTGGAGTACCAGTGTTTATCACCTAACCTCACAGCAGCCCTTGAAGGGGAGAGTCAGTTTTTAATGAATGAATTAGTAAATTCTCTTTCTTGGTACTGTATATTGATGTGCATGTTCTTCCTGTGTTCTTTCAGGACGTGCGTGTGGGAGTGTGTGTGCGTACACGTAACACAGTTGTGTGTTTTAAAGGCCCACCATGAAAACAAGTCGGGGGAGGACTAGATTAGCTGGGGCCTTACCTGTTTGAGAAAAGAGCACAAAGGTAGAGAAGGAACCTACCTGAGTTAAGAGCAAAAGGGACTAATTTGGAGTTAAAGTTAGAAGGAATATTGGTAGCACAAGAATGACCTGGCAAGCCTCTTAACAAGACGCAGATTCTCTGTGTCCAGCTCCTGATCTGCTGAGTGGAGTTTAGATGGGGTCTGGGATTTGTACTACGCAAAGCTTCGGAGATGACTTGAATGAATAGCTAGGCTTTGGAATGTGTATCTAGGTAACCAAAATGAAAACTCAAACAAAGGAAATTTCAGGTAATTAGAGTTATTAAAATTAGGCTTATAGTGTTGGGAAGAGTATTTTTAGCTGAATTTCCAATCCTGATAGACACCCAGCTATAACTGTAGTATTCTACAGCTCTAAAGGAAGAGCGACTTTGAGCTAATTGGGTAATGGATTAAGAATAGAGGACTGAGTCCACACATATGTTTAAAAAAAAAAACAACTGAACTATCACTGTATACTCTATTAGTAATTTGTCTGTTTGTTTTAAGTTTGTTCATTTATTTATGAATTGTTGAATGAGTATCTACTGTTCACCTACTGTGTAGGGCAACAGTTCCCAAACTTTGTGGCACCAGGGACCGGTGCTCCTATGAAAATCTAATGGCCGATTATCTGAGACAGAGCTTAGGCAGCAAATACAAATGAAGCTTCGCTCACTTGCCCACTGCTCACCTCCTGCTGTGTGCCCTGGTTCCTAACAGGCCATGGACTGGTACTTGTCTGTGACCTGGAGGGTTGGGGACCTCTGGGGTAGGGAAAAGGTGGCAGAGAAAAATGAGGGTGGTATGTCATAAAGAAGAATTCTATTTACTAAATCCCCTGGTGATTTCAGCAAAAGAGACTACGGGTAAATTGTGGGCCCCTTCTGCTTTCCTCACTGGAAGTATCTTTGTGGCAGTTCACCCGAGTTCAACAGACATTTGTTGCGTCAGATGCTCTACTAGTATTCAGTTAGTCAGACGTAAATGAGAGACAGTCCTTGCTCTGCGATATGTTGCAGCCTTAATGGGAGAGATGGATGCGTGAACAGGTGCCTTCATTACAATGTAGGAACTGCTTTAATGGTGGAAGGGACAGATTTTAAGAATATTTAGGCTCTAGAATTGGTAGGAATTGGTGATTCATTGAATATTGGGGGTTGAGAAGAAGCTGTAGGATGATTCGCAGATTTCTAGTGTGGGTGGCTAGATGAGGATGGAGTAACATTAACTTGGATCAGAAATACAGAATTAGGAACTCACTTGTGAGTGAGGGGGAATTTGTTTCATTTTCAGCATGCTTAACATGACTCTGAAGACATCCAAGGTGGAGCAGCATCGCACATTGGGAAGGTGTGCCAGCTCAGGAATCAGACCTGTGACATAGGGTCATAACCGTGCCATTCCACATAGAGCTGTTACTAGCTGTGTGACATTGGAACATTTAACCAACCTCCCTAAGTCTCAGTTTCTATGGGTATAGTGATATAGTACCAAACAGGAGTTATGAAAATTAAAAGAAATAATATATGTTAAGAAGTTATCATAGTACTGGGCATACAGTACCTCACTACTGTCAGGAATCATTATGTGTAGAGCAGACAGTGATCTCTCAGGAGAGATCAGAGCTGGTCATACAGTTTTGGGGCTCATTAACGTACAGACTAAAATAATGACAGTTGGATGAGATTGCCTACAGAGGATGGAGCCCTGAAGAATGATAGTAAGAGATAGGGGATGGGCGAAAGAGGGTAAAATCCAGATGAAAGAGCTGTGATTGCATGGAGATGACTGTGTGTAGAGTTGTTTGCTTTGTAGAGAATTGTTACTTAAACACAAGAAATATTTGTGACCTTTTAAAAATCCTCAGATTTAAAAACCTCGGATGGAGTTTAAAAAAAAACAAAACTGTAGTGTTCAAAAGTAGCAAACAGTAGTTGATCCTATTGTTTTACAGGTATTTAAATTTAAGTTTTGATGTGAAATGTGTGGTATAATGAAGTTAGATTTTTATTTAAGGAAGAATTAGTCCTAAACTATGAAATAATGTTGACCTCCAAGAGATATCTTCATTCAGTTTTTTTTTTAAACTAAATTTATTGGAGTGACATTGGTTTATAAAGTCATATAGATTTCAAGTGTACAGTTCTATAATACATCATCTATATGTTGCATCGTGTGGTCACCACCCAAAGTCAAATCTTCCGTTACCGTATATCTACCTCCCTGTGCCCCTCCCCACTTTGGTAACCACTGTACTGTTGTCTGTGTCTATGAGTTTTTGTTTGTCTTGTTCATTTGTTGCTTTCGGTTTTATATCCCACATGTAAGTGAAATCATATGGTTCTCCACTTTTTCTGTCTGACTTATTTCGCTTAGCATGATGATCTCAGGATCCATCTACATTGTCTCAAATGGCAGTGTTTCATCTTTTCCTATGGCTGCGTAGTATTCTGTTCTTTACCCATACCACATTTTCTTTATCTAATCATCTATCAAAGGACGCTTCTGGAAGGAAGTTTTCCTATTGTGTTTGGGACAAAGTGTGAAGATCTGATAGCTTTGTATTGTCAAGTAAACTGTCAGGCCTGAGCTGTATGAATTAGATCATGCCTCTAAGTTTCCAGAGGAAAGTGTTATAATTCATTGCAAATAAAGTTTTGTATCAAAAACAAATATTTTAGTTTTACATTTAAATTTTAATTTATTTGAATAGGTGCTGTTATAAGTAAAAGAATTTCCTATGGAATTAAATTTCTTGGAAGGGGATGCTAATTAACCTTTTATGTGGTTATTGATTATTTTGGAAATCTTAACTTCAAAATGGGGGCATTTTTTCTTCAAATTTAGTAAGGGAAAAGAAAATATATGTGGAGGGAAAGTATAGAATTAATGAGATAATGGTTGTTACCTATCTGAAGACATACACAATTTAAGGATCTATAAGGTATAGTGCTATAACTGTGGATGGAAAATTTTAAGTTGGTGTTAGTTATTTTATCCCCTCCCCCATAAGAACAGATAGTAATAAATACTATTTTTTCAAAATAGTAGTCCCCTGTACGTCCCTGGCCAGCTCTATCCCCACTCTCCAGTGGCAGCCTCGAGTGAGTATGTGTGTGTGTGTGTGTGTGTGCGCGCGCGCGCGCGCGTGTCCACAGTTAATGAAGATGTGCTGTGCACCTCACGGCCTCAGCCCCGAAAGGATGCAGAAGCAGCATGTGATGTAATCTAGGCCGGGGGTTTCAGAACCCCTGGGAAATACAGACCTAAGAGGTTGAGGAATTGATTTTCTGAGAAGGATTCCTGGGAGGAGATGACATCAGTGAGCCTTGAAGAACGCTTAGTACTTAGCTGGACTGAAGAGACTATTTTAGGAAGGGAGGATGGTGTGAGTAAGTGGAAGCACAGAGCTGGACACAGGAGAACAAGTGGGAATTTGGAACCATGTAACTATTCCTGATTTAATTTTTCGGGTAGTTTACTTCCATAACTCTACGTAATAACCTTATATATTCACTACTTGACTTGCCAACTTGAAATAAAATATATTGACCCTTGGATACAAAAAACACTTTTGCTTATTCATACCACACCCCTCCTTCCTGTTCGCCTTAATATGTGTGTTAATATTTTTTACAGGTTTCGTCTCTGTTGGTTGTATTTGTAACTGTAAATAGTACCAATGTTGTTTGTGATTTATGTATTCCCCAATATATGTGAAATTTAACATTCAGCATTAAATTAACTCATGTTTTTGACAGAAGAAGGAAAAATTTTGAAAATGGTACATTTAAATCCCAGGATAACAGAAAAAGAATGTATACTACCTTTGAAATGAAAATAACATCTTTTTCTTTTTTAGGTTGAGCAAGTGAAATTACTTGACCGATTCAGTACCAGCAACAAGTCATTGACAGGGACACTGTATCTTACAGCCACACACCTGTTATTTATAGACTCTCATCAGAAGGAAACCTGGGTAAGGAGGAACTCTGACGTTCTGTTTACTGTAATTATAATAATGGACTTGGTCTATTGCGGTGTTTCATTTTGAACACATACAAAAAATTTTAATCAGTTGCCTGTCTCAACCAAAAAGTTTTCAGTCACCTGATCACTTCTTCCTTCCCCCCTAATAAAACAGTGATACCATGTGGAATTCTTTTGTAGAAGACAAGAAAGATTCTTTTATCTGCATATATAATAATAAAATACCTACTTATCTCTTTTAATTTTTAAAAATCTAAGTAATATAGGTACATGTTAACAGATCAAATGGCATATATTCCATAGTATTTTTATACCAAATTGAAATTAGGGTGTTGATTTATTTATTTGCTAGTACAAACAGTGCAGTAATGGATATTTTGCATATGTTTCTTCCCATATGTGTGCCAGAGTTTCTCTGGGGTTATTTGTCTGGGAGTAAAATTACTGGGCCTCAGATAAGTGCAGAGTCATCCTTACTAAGTATGCCGCCTCTCCAAAGTCATTGTTTCAACATATTCTCAGTAGACTATGACACGTTCGCCATCTTCAGCCACATGATAGTGTTACCTTTAAAATTTTCGCCTTTAAAATTTCGTCGGGTGTGTAGTCGTGATTTTACTGATTACAAGAAGGCCTTACTTTCAGGTATTTTGGCTTTAGCTTTCCTTTTCTTTTTCTGTTGAGTTATTTGTCCTGTTATTGATTTTCCAAGCGTTCTGGCTTTTGTGTTTCATCGGTTATGTGTGTCGTACATTACTTCTCCCAGCGTGCGGCTTGTCTTGAGTCTGTCTTTTAAAGTTTAAAATTTTAGCGTAATAGATTTTTTTCTTTTATGCTTTATGCTGTTTTGTGACTTAAAGAATCCTTCCCTACGTCAAGGTCATAGAGATTCTCCTATAGTTTCTTCTAAAAGCTTTTGTTTTGTATTCTAAGTATAAGTTGTTAATATACCTTGGAAATATTTTGGTGGATGGTATGACACACGTGGACTAGGTGATGTGAAGGAAAAGGGTAGGTTGGTATTCAGTAGGAAAACGGAGGGAGCCAAGTGAGGAGGTAGAGCTGCAGGATCCCAGTTAGGGGAGACGCTGAGAGTGTCTGTGAAGGAGCTGGGCTCATCTGAGGATCCAAGAGAAGGCTGTTGTCACTGGAACTTAGTGATGTGGGGAGGGACTTGAAATGAGACTTGTGAAGTGGGAAGTCGTCCCCAGCCATGCCATGCTGAGTGCCGCTCAGCAGGGTAGGGCCTGGTTAGTACTTGGATGGGAGAAATGGGAAATAACATAACTAGATTGCTTTTTGTTTTGCTTTTTAATGGTTACTCTCCTGCCTTGTACAAAATGGATCAAAGAGGGTCAAGAGTAGATACGGAAAGAGCATCTAGGAGGCTTTTTACAGTAATTCAGGTGAGAAACAGTGAGAACATTGCAGCTGGGGGAGTGACAGGAGATGGGGAGAAGTAGACAGCTCACAGACGCCTTTGGGGAACGCGGTTCTCTGGGTTTGATGACGTAGCGAATGTGTGGAGTGATGGAGAAAGTATCGGCACACTTCTGGCTTGGGCATTGGCATTTAAAAATTTTGAGTGTGCGTATGTAGTGTATAACACTGGAAACTTTATTCGAAGAGGGCATTTCTAACATTTGTGCACTGTGGCGCGACTAAGATATTTAGTGCTTTTTAATAATGGCAATCGAATGTTTTTTCGTGCTGTAGATTTTGCACCATCATATTGCCTCAGTAGAGAAACTGGCTCTGACGACTTCTGGGTGCCCACTTGTGATTCAGTGCAAGAACTTCAGGATTGTGCATTTCATTGTTCCCAGAGAAAGAGATTGCCATGACATTTACAACTCTTTGCTACAACTGTCAAAACAAGGTAAGCTGACCTGCTCAGTTCCGAGACGGATTATCTAAGAGCTTTCATTTAATATCTCATTGTTATTTTATACTTTAAGTTACTCTTAAGTCAAGTTCTTATGAACTCTATTCTAAAAATTTTGGCCTAGAAGTAATTAGAAACGTGAGCTCTGAATTGTAATGATGGTTTCCAAAACAGGGGTGATGGTAAGGACAAAGTAAGGCGTTTATGGTACAGACTTAAAAACTAGATTTGTATTAATGTTTCTAAAATCTGTTGGTACCCAGTAGCACAGCTTTTTTTTTTAAGTGTCCCATAACCAAGGGAGTGACTTGGAAATTGATTACTAAATGAAAAATTAAGGAAGATCAAGCTCCTCTGGTAGCAGTGGGACTGATTTATTTAATCGACTGGAGTGGAGCGTGAGGGAGATGAGCAGAGAGAAAAGAGAGGATGAATCCTGCTTTAGCTGAGGTATGAGTGAGAAGGACACAGGCCCTAAGCTGGGTCTTAGCACTGCTATGCCTTAGGGATCTGGAGGCTTCCTTCCCCCAACATGACTGGAATTACTAAGTTCCTGGGTGTTCCTTTTTGTTGCTGAACACCTGGATCGCAGTTCTCTAGGGGCGGGTCTGTGTTCACACTTCTCTCCTAATACGTGAAGCCTATAACATTTATTTCATTGTCCTGGGTTAAGCCACATCTTATGGTAAAGATGCTTCTGTGACTTTAGGGGCCTAAAGTTGTTCAGAAGTAAATGCTCTCTGGACCAATGTGCATTACCATTTTTTGGTCAAAACTACTATAGGAGTATACACGCAATTTCATGTTCCATATGCTACCTCTAGTTTTTCTCTACATCATTAGTTTTACATTTCATTTGGGATAAATAAATGGTAGGAAGTGTCTATTTGTGTCTCTAAAATTTTACTTTTAAGAAAAGGAAATTTGCAGTAGGGTATTTAATGTATAAGTCTCATATTATTTACTAGCTTTTACTGATGATATACATTAAATCTCAGATTCAGAACAAAATGTTTGGTTCAAATACGTTCAGGTGTTAGCCATATCTTTGAAGACTTTAAGGAAAAAATGGAGGGGTAAAACCGAAAATTACTTTTATTTGTGGTGTATTAAGTCTCATAAGTTGCATTTTAACATTTATGTATTTTATATGCTATAGCAAAATATGAAGATCTCTACGCATTCTCTTATAATCCCAAACAAAACGATTCAGAACGACTGCAAGGCTGGCAGCTCATTGACCTCGCTAAGGAATACGAGAGGATGGGAGTGCCAAATTCAAACTGGCAGCTGTCGGATGCCAACCGAGAGTACAAGGTACCTTCGCAGCCTTCCAGGGGAGTCTGGAAAAATGTGGGTACCGGCGAGTCAGGGACTACCAGAGCAGCAAGCTGTCTCTGTATTGCTATATACTCTTCTTCCATTTACTAAGTTCTAAAGGTTTTTAAAGACGTTTTTTAACTTAAGGGTTTTCAAACTACGTGTATGGAATGGTTACGTTTTATCTGATTTTTACAGATTTGTGAAACTTATCCCAGAGAACTCTATGTTCCTCGAATAGCAAGCAAGCCAATCATCGTGGGCAGTTCCAAGTTCCGGAGCAAGGGGAGGTTCCCGGTGCTTTGCTACTATCATCAGCATAAGGAGGTGGGCGCTTCCCCTCACTGTGCAAATGTGGTGGTTGATCCCTCTTCAGGTTTAAGTCTCGAAAAATCACTCACTTTTGCATTAAGAGGTCATTATTATAATGTTGCTGATAGAGAAGTGCTGGCTTTTCACTTAATTACATTTTCAGAATTTTAAAACAAAATTACCCTGAAATACAGAAACTTTCATACTTGCCATCTTTCCCCCATTTGCTCCCTCCCTCCCTCCCTCCTTTCCTTCTTCCTTCTTCCTTCTTCCTTCCACTGTGACTTGAAAATAACGGGATTAGTAAACAGACAGGTTCTCTTCCTTGCCTGTGGTTCTCTTTTGATCCTGTTGGTATTGGGTGAAACCAGATACTTTTGACAAACCAACTACTGAGCAAAGGGAGAGAACCAAGGGTATTTCAGGCTCCCATTTAATAAATAGTAAGCTCTTCAAATTGGAAGCGTTTTGCAATGTGAAGAGGCGAAGAGGGCATCTTTGTACTGAGATGCTATAATAGGGATCGCTCATTATGGTAAAATTTCCTTGCGGCCTGTTAACAGTAATCCAGGAAGTATGATACGTTAAATGCTTTCTGTGTATGAAGTCCTCTCAGTAACTTCCTAAGGCGGGCTCTTCTGATTACCTGTAACTTTCAGATGGGGAACTACAGTTCAGAGGGCCAAAGGCTTTTTCTATACGACAACCAAGAAGTTGAGTTGGGTGCCATTTCTGACTCCCAATTTCTTGAGACCTGATTTTTTTCCTCAGGAAGTTTTTAGGATCTTCTTGCCCCTGCAGTGTTCTGAAATTTCACAGTGATGTGCTTTTCTGTGTTGTTTTAAATTCTATCTGGAAACTCAGATCTCAGTTTGGGGAAGTTGCTCCTCTGTTTCTTTGATAACTTCCTCTCTTCTATTAATTTTCTCTTACTTTTCTGTGTGTGATTGAGCTGACGAGTTGGCTTCCTAACATAAACCAACATTTTTCTTAACCTTCTCTTTGAATTTTTATCTGTCTTTATTTTGTGGAAGATTTCCTCAGCCTTATATCCAGTCCATCTCTTAGATCCAGCCCCCCTCCCCAGCTTTTTTTTTTTTTGCGATAGTGTTTTAAAAATCTAAGAACTCTTTCCTGTTTTTAGACAATTTTCTATTCTTAGATGTCATTACTTCTCTGAAGATATTAAGGATCTTGAAAAAGAATTCTCGTGCTCCCTACGTTAGTTATCTGTTTGCTCAGAGTTTCTTTGTTCTGTTTATTTTGTTTTTTTGTTTTTCATGTCTTTCAAATATCTGATTCTTGGCTGGCCTCTCATACTTAAGAGTGAGGTACTACAAAGCTGTTTAGAAGTCTGTTTGTATGCGTGAGTGATCCCTATCTTTGGATTCTTTCTGCTGTAATTTTCATCCCAATGTGTGTGGTAGGTCTGGCCAGGATCCAAGTGTGGGAAAAGGGATTGGAAGATCAGGTTTTACTTACTCCTGGTTTTTTTGTTTTTGTTTTTGGGGGAGAGGGAGTGCAGTACAGGGCTTCAGTCTCTGCACAGCTATGCCCATTGTCCAGAGTCTTCAGGTTAGTCTTCTTCATAGAATAAACTATGTTCAGGGTGAGGAAAGATCTGGAAGTCTGAACTAGTCCTTAACACAGACGTTCAACCAGCTCTGCCGTTTTCGGCCATACCCCTTCCAGGCTTTCAGAAAGCCACATCCTACACCTTCCTCGGATTTTGTTGCTCAAAATATTTGCTTCTCATTGACTCAAACAATTTGGCAGCTTTCTTTGCTCTGGTAAATTGGTTATTACTTGTCACTCTGCTTTCATTTCCCTAAATCTTATTGCCATCTGTACTTTATTTTTGTCTCCTTTCTCATTCTCTTTGACTTTTTGGTTTTATACATATTGTTTCTCTATTAGAACTTTAAGTTGGGTTTTAGAAGAGAGCCAGAGGTAAAAAGTAAAACTTTGAACAAAAGTTCCTAATCTGCTTTTCAAAACAAAGTCATAGGGAGTTAGGACTGGTTATGACCTGTTTGACACACTCATGTTTGTATACATGTTTTATTGGAAGTCTAGGCTGAAAATAGATATTCAGTGCCCAGCTTAACAAATCAGAGAGTAGGTCTGAAAGAAATTTAATAAGGCAGTCCTCATTTTCTTCTACCTTAAATTTTTATGTTTTTTTTTTTTTTTTTGTATGTGTGAATTTAAATTGTGTAACTGTGAATTTTATATATCGTTTTTTCCCCTAACGATACCGTGATTGGAATGTTTGGGTAGAGTTAAGTTGGAGTTGGTGTGGATGAGGGTAGAGAAAAAATATATGGGTCTAAATCTTGTAAATCTTTTCTTAAGACTTTGAACAACACTAAATATCTAATTTAATGTTTACTACTTCTTACAGATATTTTTGCTCTCTTAGATTGACTATATTTTAACCCAAATTGAATCGAAGCTCATTTTTCTCATTTTATGTCCCATTTTATATGAAGATTACTGATTTCTAATTAGAGCTCTGAAAGCCTTTGGAAAGTAAAAGTTCAAATCCTGTTCTACATTTATTTACTGGTCTCTTACTTGAATTCGAGTTGAAGGTATCTTGTTTTCTAGGGCACAGAATGCAAGTATCTTTGTAGGTTACATGATAGGAGATTGACTAGAACTGCTTCTAAGGACCTAAGATTTTTTTCATCAGACTGGCTAGGGAGGCCTTTAGGTTTCGTAGAAGAGGATATTGGGGAAAATTAAGTAACTTCAAGATATTGAAGTAGTATTTAATTCAAATAGGATTTCAACATTAATTGTCCTACCAATTTTTAAACAGATTGCACATTTGAACTTTTTTTTTCTTTTAAGCATTTTTTTGACACATGTTTTAGACATCTTTGGATAATCTGTTTTCTGTCCTTTTAAAATTAGGCTGCCATTTGTCGGTGTAGTCAGCCACTGTCAGGATTCAGTGCCCGGTGCCTGGAGGACGAACATTTGCTTCAAGCCATTAGTAAGGCCAACCCGGTCAACCGCTACATGTACGTCGTGGATACCAGGCCCAAAGTACGTGTCTTGGGTGCAGTGCAGTCTCTTAGTTTAGTTATCTTCGTTACTTTAATCATAAAGGGTTGACCAGCTTGTCCGTATTTAACATCTGAATCCTAGTTTTAAACTAACCGAGGCTAATGATCCTAAGGGATACCGACTTAGGAGACCACTTTCGCAGTAACCCAAATGATGATTTCTTAGGTTTTCTGATATATGTAAATTTAGGAAAGCTGAGTGTTATTGGGAACTGTTGATGGTGTATTAGTATTATGTTATTGTGAAGAAATACTAAATAGTGTGTGTTGTGAAACATTAGAAATTTTTATTATTTTTTTGTAGAATTTTCAATTGGCAAAATACTTTGTGTTAAAATAATGGACATTAATTTGAAATATTCAGGAAAATAAGGAAAACAGTTAATGAGTTAGCTTAGGAAACATTAAATTAGAGAATCGTAAACAGGAAATAGTTGGTCTGTTAGACATGTTACGTAAGGTTAAATTTTTGTCATTGGAACAAATGTCAGAATCCCATTTTCTTTTTATAAACAGTTAACCAATTCATATAGGATCCTGAAACTAAAGTAATTAAAATCCTCAATGATAATAGCTAACATTACTTTTAATTTTTATTATAGCATCGCATGCAGAGCTGGTGGGCTACACAAAAGGACATTGGCAGAATTATAGTGAGGATTTCTTCAAAAATCTGGAATGATGAGAAAATAAGAGAAAGCGATGAGAAAAAGCGAGTGAGCGATACAGACCACAATTTTAGTCAGCTTTGTTGAAAAGATTGGTAGCGGTTTTAGAAGTAATTCTCATCATTATGTAGACTCACAAAAGATAATAGAGAAAACAGAAGATAATTAATTTGAGTAAATTAAGGAATAGTAAAAATTAGAAACTGATAATTTGATAAGCTCTTCTTTTGTTAAAAAGACTTTTTTAGAAGTGAAGAGTGTTGATGATATCTATTGTAAGAAAAATTCTATTTTACTTCCTTGTATAATGTAGGTAGATCAACTGTTACAACTATTTTTAGGTAATGTTAGATATAGATGATTATAATACAAGACTTTCTGAATATAAGATCTGAGGGCGATTTGTTTTTCAGGAATCTTTTATTTGTGTAATTGACTTCTGCAAAGAAAATATATCTTTGATTGTTTTGTTTTAGAAGTAAAACTTAAGTAGTAATACTGTGAATACATTTTAATATCTCTTATCTCAGTCGTCATAGGTGCTAAATAACTAATGAGTCAGTAAATAAAATTCAACTGTATTTGTTACCAACCTGGGCCCCAGTCCACTGAATGAAAAGTGACTTTTTCTTCCCAAAATTTTTTTTTCATATTTCATATGAGTTCATAAGACTGTTTGGTCAGTTGTGATAATGTGCTATATAAAATCCTAGCCTGAAAGAATTAAACATGGCAAATCTTAAGAGAACCTCTGATAGTATTTGACTACGAGCAGCCTGCTTTCTCCCTAGAGATCAGTTTATCTTTCGCCCAATTCTTGGAGCTATGTCAAGCTAGCAGACTATGTTCTGTGTTACATACCGTGTGGGCCCCCAGTAATCTCTAATACGGAGGACCTCAGATAACCTGACGTATACTTCAGGTCTGATTTCCAAGGTCTCTGGGGCTTTCTGAATGATCAAGTGCTCCAGGCTTGTTTTGAGGTGACTCTCATAGGTTCATTCTGTAAAAGAAAAACTGCTCAACTCTGAATCAGTTAGGATTTAGATAGGAGAGCTTTCTTTTTTAAAATTTTGAAATATTACAAACATGGAAAACTGACTGAAAATATAAGTGAATTAGTTTTATATATTATTTGTGGGGAACTTCCGGTCTGACCTTGCCATTGTATAGTAATCACGTTGTTACTGTGTAGTGTCCTCCTTTACTATTATAATTAACATGTGACATGTTGATTTATAAAAAATGGTAGCACATTCAGTTTTGATAAGTTCCTTTAAACTTTCTGCTAGCTAAACTGTGGTTTATTTAGTGTTTTCATGATATTTCGGGAAGTTGAAAGCAATTTGTCTCTAAATTTCTAAAATTTAAATTTTTAGCTGAATGCAATGGCCAACAGAGCAGCTGGAAAAGGTTATGAAAATGAAGATAACTATTCTAATATTAGATTTCAGTTTGTTGGAATTGAAAATATTCATGTCATGCGGTCCAGCCTTCAGAAATTATTGGAAGGTATGATTATTGCTTACCTTCTAGTCCACTTTGTTCTACAGAAATATGCTAGTCAAACATAAAATTTAAAGTTATGTAATTTAAAACTTTCTAATAACATTCTAAGAAGTAAAAAGAAACAGTTGAAATTAATTGTAATAATGTACTTAACCTAATATATTAAAAACATGTTATAACATAATCGATATAAAAGTTAGTAATGCTATGTTTTACTTTTTTTTGCCTTTAATCTTAGAAATTGACTGGTGTGTATTTTACACTCAAAATGCATCTCAATTTGGACTACCCACACATCAGGTGTTCAGTAGCCATATTTGGGTAGTAGCTACTGTATTGGGCAGTATAATTCTAATGGTTTTACAAAAAATTGTTATTGTTAGATATTTTCGATTAGTCAGTACAGTTAAGATTAATTTATGATAATATTCTATTCAAGTATTAAGGTATCTTTCTAGTCAAGGTGTGTAATTTAAAAAATTTAAATAGTAGACTGTTTTTAATGAAACACTTGTGCTGTAATTTTTTTATAAAAGTAGTTAGGAACATTTTTTTCAAGCACAAAGAATGATGGGAAAATGTAACAAAAATCCATTATTGAGCTTCTAATAGCATCTTTTCATTTTTAGAGTCTTGCCTATGTATTTGTCCTCTTTTTCCCCCATTCACTCGCATGGATATCTTGAATAGAAGTGCAAACTCTAGCCATTCTAATTGAATCATTTCTCTCCTTTTTTAGTCAGTGGTACCAAAGGGCTTTCTGTCAATGATTTCTACTCCGGTTTGGAGAGCTCGGGTTGGCTTCGCCACATCAAAGCTGTAATGGACGCTGCAATCTTCTTAGCCAAAGTAATAACTTCATCGCTCTTTCTGGTTTTGGGGTTTATAATGGTTGGGAAGCAATGGATATATTCTGTTGAGTGCTGGTATCTTTTCCAGTCAGATAACTTTTATTATGTTTTACCTTTTTTAATGAGGTTCACTTAATTCGAGCTTTAAAAATATCATGTAGCACTTCATGTAGGGACTTAAAAAGAAATTCCCAAACACTTTGAAAAGCATTTTTGTCTTTGTTTGCTTTGTGTTTTCTCATTTTTTGGAAATGATGCTGTGACAGCGTTTTCATGGCAGTCCTAGCTCTTCTTTATAATGCGATACTTAATGGTTCTGATAAGTAGACTTACCAATTCACTTAAAATGTGTTCTGCTAGAATCTAAGTATGTGATCTGTCTTTTTCAGGCAATAATGGTTGAAAATGCTAGTGTGTTGGTGCATTGTTCTGATGGCTGGGATAGGACTTCCCAGGTGTGTTCCCTCGGCTCCCTGTTATTGGATTCCTACTACAGGACGGTCAAAGGATTCATGGTAAGGAGATATTTGGGTAGACCAGTGGTTCTCAAAGTGATTTTTGCGTCCCCGGAGACACTGGGTAATGTCAGGAGAAGCGTTGATTGTTACAGCCAACGGAAGGGGTGCAGCCGGCACCCAGGTGGCAGAGGCCCAGGATGCTATCAGTATCCTCTGCTGCACCGGCAGCCCCGCGGCAAAGGGCTGTCTGGCCCACGTGTCAGTGGTGCTGATGCTGAGAGACCTCAAGTTAGACCAATTTCCACTTTGGCCACCTTTTATGACAAACAGTTTTAGATTTAAAAGTTTTTTTCCCTAACAGTATTACAATAGAAATACTCAGTATGTTCCCTTCATATTTATCTAACAAATGTAAGTAAAGTAGTAAAACAAGCCATAAATAAAAGTACTTAAAAATCATATTTTTGAAGAAATGTTCTATTTAAAACTCCAGTTGTTAGTTGTATTTACATGTTAGGTTTGTATCTGAGGATTAGATTTCTAATTGAACAGATTTTCTGCTTTGTGAAACTAATACCCTGGCTCCTGTTTTTTTGTTTGTTTTTTGAACGTATGATCAGATTAACTCGTGTTTTCAAAATTTACATCTTAACTCATGGCAAGTAAACAAAGAGATGGGGGAAGGTTTTCATTTATTTGGAATTATTAATTGCCATCTAACAGCAAGGAAAGGTCCCAGCAGCATTGTTTTGTGGCACTGACTTACTGAATCTAGAACAAGACAAATGGAAGTACTGCTAATAAAATAGCATCCAGCTTACCGTGGGAGTGTAAGATAAGGAATGTTTTCTTTGCCGCGTTCGGCTTTGTTCGCTGGCCATCCAGAGGAAATCACGTGATGCATGACCAGGGACAGTGCGAGAGCGTCTCAGGCAAAAGGAGCAGTGGGGACGAAAGCATAGCTGCTTTAGGTGACCGTAGGGGATCGGGGTGAGCTGGGGACAGGGGTGCTTGGGTGCAGGAGAGTAGAGTGAGGTGAGGGCCTGGGGAGGAGGAGACCAGAGTTTGGATAGTGAGCTCCATCAGAAGGCTTTAAACACAGGAAACAGTAACTTGTTTAGATTTGCTTTAAAAAAAAATGTCTTAAAGGCAAAGGGGAGTGGGAATGGACATTAGGAGACCAGAATAGGAAATGGTAGAACTTGGGAGAGAGAAGAGGGCCAGGACTAAGGTAGGACGACAGGGGTGCAGGAGGAAGTGACGGGTTCAACCCCCAGGGATGTTAAGGCAGCAGAGTGGGTGAGCCTGGTGCTCAGGGGGATGTGGAGAGGAAGAGGGGAGGCCTTCTGGGATGAGTCCAGGCTCTGGGCCCCGTGGATGGTGCTGTGCTCCCGCTGTTCACTGAGATGAGCAGAGGCCAAGTTCAGTGAGAGGGTCTGAGATGCGGGTGTGTAGGGGGGTGGCAGGACTCGCAGCAGAGGCTGAGGCTACAGCTCGAGATCACCTGCCTGAGGCCACGTGGGCATAGAAGTGGTGAAGCTAGGACCTGAGTCTATGCGGTACGACTCCAGAAACTGCATCTTTGCCCGTCTATCCGGCCGTCCAGAGAGGTTCAAGACAGAAGCTCAAAGTGGCCATTTTGACACCAAAAAGAATGCAGTTCATAATTATATGATGAAATTATAGCATGTAGTAAATACTAAGGAGATACATTGTTTAGATTAGACTGAAAAAAAAATTAGAAGCCTATTATTTCAGTGCAATTGCGACAGAAAACAGATAAAGATGGTCCATTAAAGAAGAGTTTAGATATTGACGTTTGGATTTGAATATAAACTTTTCATTGGTTTCTTTATTATTCTGTTTTTAAAAGTATGATGGAAGTAGCATACAAGTAAGCCAAAGATTAGAAACATAACCCCAGTCTAGCACCCACGATTAACCACTATTAACATTTTGATTTACATTTTTCTACCCTTTTTCTAGGCATGTATCATTATTACACATACAAAAATGTATATATAATAGTGCTATATAAGAGACACTTTTCACTTAAACTGTAATAAATACAACCAAAAAGTTATGACTACCATATTTCTTTTGATGTATCATTTTTACTCTTTATTAAACCAACCTCTAATCCAGGTTGTTGCTGTCTTTAGCCTATAATTAAAAAATATATATAGATTTTTCTTTGCAACCATAAGTTAAAAGTCTAAATACTGTTTTTAAGATAATAGGATTTAAGCCATTCTAAAAAAAAAAAAAAGGTAATTATAAAAGGGATTTTACTTTTTTTCATCAAGGTCTTAATAGAAAAGGATTGGATCTCCTTTGGACATAAATTTTCAGAGCGGTGAGTCAGAGTTATACATTTATATGTTTTGTAAAAATAGTAAAACTAGTTGGAGAGCCAGAATGTTTCTGTTCTCCATGAACTCGCATGTGCAGTGGGAGGTGAGAGTGTGATACGGATTTTTGTATGAAGACTGATGTAATTTTTTCTGTCATTTCATTCGATTCTCATACTTTTGTTAATTTTCATGGCAATTTATTACCTTCCTGTTTCTCGGGATTATAGCAGGTAGAAGGTAATAGACCCTTTAAAATTGTGATTGAAAAACTCATAGGTATAAATTGTTTCAATAAAACATTACAGTTCTTTTATGCCAATGTAGGAGTCTTTTAGGAGTTCATTGTTGATTTGTGTTTAAATTTAACAATATTTGAACAATTGACTTCTTTCAGAGACAGTTTTAAAAACTTGTACTTTCTGGGGGGTTAGGTGTGGCCATTTGGATGGTGACCCAAAGGAAGTCTCACCGGTGTTTACTCAGTTCTTGGAATGTGTGTGGCATTTGACCGAGCAATTTCCACAAGCCTTTGAATTCAACGAAGCGTTTCTTCTTCAGATCCATGAACACATTCATTCGTGCCAATTCGGAAACTTCCTTGGAAATTGTCAGAAGGAAAGAGAAGAACTCAAGTAAGACGGTTTGATTAAATGGGCTCTTTTTTTCCCTACTTAAGTGAGGTCTGACATGAAACTGCATGTTTGTTGAAGTGAATAAGATATCTTGACAGTATGAAATAGAACTGAATTTTATTGTAAAGGTTTTATTGTTTGTATTTCTGAAGCCAAGTACCGTCTGGATATCCCTTACACCCTCAGGTTAATAGTAAAAATATGTTTTTAAAATCTGTTTTGAAGTGTAGCATATATATATCATAAGTCTGAAGCTCAATAAATCTTAAACTCATCCACCTATGTAACCAGCACCAAGAAGAGCAACCATTATCAACAGCCTATAATCTCTTGATGCTCCTTTCTAGTCTGAATATATATTTAGAACAGAAAAATCTTTATTTCCTAGAAAGTATTGGTAACTAAGTTTTAAAGTGTGGTAAAAGATCTAAAAACTCTGGGTAATATAAATTCAAGTGAAGCCTTATAGCTGTCCTCATATTTCTAAACAGACAGTTCTTTGGGGAAATAAATCTCCCTGTGCTGGTTGCAGTATGTCTGTCCGTGATTGGGTCTCACACCTGTTCTTTGGGATCAGGGGCTTCAGGGAAATCTGGGGTGAGGCTATGAGAGAGCTTTATCTATTTTTAGGTTGGATTTCTGAGTTTAGATTTCTTACAGTAGTTGGTAAAGAGTAGTTATAGATTTTTGAACATCCAAGTGGCATATTAGAGAGGCTAACTCCGCTAGTAGTTGGAAGACAGCTCCCAGCAGACAGTATGATTCTGAGATGTGTAAAGGGAATGAGTGAAATGGAGTGTGATGGGGATGAGCGACTCAGAGAACATGAGACTTTAGCTCTGTGGTTTAGTATCTCACAGCAGATTTTCACAGTCAGGAGAGGTGAGCCCTGGAGTACAGAGCTATTTTGAGAAAAAACTATCCTCTGTTTATCAGACATCCTCATAAGTAGGAAGATGTTCATAAAAATGTGTACTTTTCAGCAGTTTTTCTCTAAAAACATACCTGTTGGTCATCTTAGGGGTTGTGAAAAAATGAGCAGATTCTCCCCCTTATTCCCATATCCTTATCTGTTTTATGTTTATTTGGTAAATATACCATCTAAAACCATTTATTCACCTACTTCACCTACTTACTCTTAGATTTGCAGTATAATTGGCTTTTCTTAATTCTGAATAATGTCCTGATTTTTCCTAATTCCTTTTTTTTTTTTGTACCCTCTCACACTTAAATTTGTCTCTGCCCTGTAGTACATGCCATTATGGCCCAGATGTGGGGCCAGGAGAATAAGGCCAAACAGACACATCAGTACCTCGTCTGTGTACATTTGACCCTTGAACAGTGAGGATTGGGATACCGACCCCCTTCCCCACTCAGTTGAAAATCCCTGTGTAGTTTAAGTTGGCCCTCCACCTCCATAGATTCGAAAATACCGTTTTTGGTCATGGTTGGTTGAATCTACGCATGTGAAACTCAGGGACGTGAAGGGCCAACTGCATATATGTTGACATGTTGTTAAAATATCCGTGTGTAAGTGGACCCGCACACTTCAAACCCATGTCTTGTGAGGGTCGACTGTCCGTGTGTGGTGATTTGAAGCAGGTTACCGGAGACCAGGATTATGAAACTGTGACCTCAGAGGAATCTCTCTGAAAATGTGTGGTCGTGAGAGAAAATGGCACGTCTGTGTTGTGTTGGTTTTATTGCACGATTATAAGTAAAAAAGGAGAAAAAGAGAATACAGAATCCAGAGACAAGGTGACATTAAACTGAATAGAAGGAGAAACAAAAGCTTAAATCTACTGGGGAAGTAATTGCCTGATTTATAAAACTGCGTGTCGGCATCGGTGGGAAAGGTCTGTGTGTCTCTCGTCACATAGGTTGAAGGAGAAGACGTACTCCCTGTGGCCGTTTCTTCTGGATGACCAAAAGAAGTACTTCAATCCTCTGTACAAGTCTCAGAAATTGGCAGTTTTGGAGCCAAATACAGTATCTTTCAATTTTAAGTAAGTTGGCGTCATCAAAGTGTTTATATTCTATTTTTCTCATGCACAGTTCATTGAAAAAAAATTTTTTTTTGGTCAAAGGTTTTGGAGAAACATGTACCACCAATTCGATCGAACATTGCATCCTAGACAGTTGGTGTGTAATATAACTGTGAACATGAATGAGGAAAATGAACAGCTAGAGAAGGATATTAAAGACTTGGAATCTGTAAGTATTCTGAAGTATCTAATGTAATATGTTTGGAATGTTAAATTTGTTTACTTGCCCGTTCTTAGTGTAAATTCGTATATATAGAAACCTCATAAGTATTCATGATTGCTTCAAAATCAGACCTCCTTTGATTAGATTAGTTTGAATCACTTTCCCTGAATTTTAAAATATATTGAAATGTCTGAAGTATGTAGAAAAGTAGAGATATAAAATAATAAGTATTGGGGTATCTACCACCTAGCTGTGTGATATTTCAGCATTTACCATGTGTGCCTCAGCTCTTTTATGTTTTTGTTCTAAGAAACGAAACATCATCGATCTTGAAGACCCCGTGTACGCTCTCCCGCCCCCCGCCCCCTTCCTTTCACTGACTGCGTTTGGTGTTCGCCATCCCTGGGCATACTCGTATACTTCTGCTATATCTGTTCGTAGCCATGACAATTTATAATAATGTTTTGTGGGTTTTTAAATATTTTTATTACATATCGAAAAAGTACGAAAGGATATAGTTTCTGTATGAGGTATAAAGGGCAGGCAACAAATACCATGACCGCCCTTGTACCCTTCACTCAAGAAGAAACTGCATGTTTTAAACCTACGTACAGATCGTCAGACCGTGATGCTTCATTTTGCCCAACATTGTTTTGAAATTCATCTGTGTCGACACATGTAGCTTCAGTTCACTTTTGTTAATAACTACTGTATGATATTCTCTTGTATGAACCTATCGCAGTCTGTCCGTTCAGCTGCTGAACATTTAGATCGTTTTCAGTTTTGGATTTCCATGATAACAAGTGGAGTTGAATGACTTTTCATGTGTTTCTTGGCCATTTGGTTTTTCCTTTCTGTGAATGGCCTATTCAGACCTCTGGCTCATTTTTCTGTTGGCCTAGCGGCCTTTTTCTTATTGATTTGTAAGAGTTCTCTATAACCAGACAGTGATTCTTTGTTAGTTATATATACGTATCACAGATGGCTTGTCCAGTCTATTCTTGTCCTCTCCATTTTATTTATGGTACGTTTTATATAGATGTTTTGAATTTTAATGTAGTCAAATGGATCGATCTTTATGTTTTATGCTTTTTGTGTACCTCGTTTAAGAAATCCTTTTCCAACCCAAGAGTTTTCTAGAATCTTTTTTTTGCCATCATATATAACCACAAAGAAATCAGTAAGTGCATATTTTTAAAACCCTGGACAGTTGTCATAACTTAGTTAAGACTGTCTTGTCTGCCTCGCAGGCAGGCGTGCACCTTAGTCATCAGAGAGGTGACTGAGTAAACTGTAGGAGGACATGTTAAAAAGGGGCAAGTTCAAGATCCATGTAATTTCAGATGATCGTCTGGAGATCAGCCCAGGGATTTGGAGAGTGTGACATTCTGCCAAAGAATACTTTAAAAATCTTCTGTTTTTTAAAAAACCAAAGCTCCGTTGTGTCCTAAAGCCTGTGTGTTCAACTAACAAACCGTTGCAGGAAAACCATGTCAGAAAGCTCTTTAGGCATAAAATCTTCAGCTGAGTATGTGTTTATTGTATTTTGCAGTTGTGAATTTAGGATGAATATACATTTCTTTATAAAATGTTTACTTTTCATACTTTCTGGTTAATATATGCCTTTTTCAGATATAAAAGCCTAGTGATCGTTTGCTGTCGAGTATAAAGACTTAACCATTTTCCATTGCAAAAGTCGTAAATGTGAATTCTCCACCATGTGTTATTCAACTGCACTAGATTTTATTTTTCGAGATTTAATTTTGTAGTAAACCCGAAGAGAACATTTACAAAAGCGTGTTTTCACATACATTGAACATGTACTATGTGCAGTTAGTAACTTCTTTCAAATTTGGATTTGTTCTAGAAAATTAAGCAACACAAAAAAGAGCAAATAGATGGAGTTTTCACCAAGGAATTGTTACATTCAGTTCATCCCGAGTCACCTACCCTCAAAACCTCCCTGTGTTTTAAGGAGCCAGCTCTGCCCCCCGTGAGTGACACTCTTCGAACCATAGAGGGCAGCAGCCCCGCAGACAATCGCTACAGCAGCTACGCCGAGGAGTTTGCCAAGCCCGAGCCCGCCATGGTCAGCCTGGAGTACGGCGTGGCCAGAATGACTTGTTAGAGTGTGTTCTGGACCGACCACGGTGCAGGAATTGGACTGTTATTGTGAGGGTGATCTGTGCGCATGACCAAGAGGAATTTGTCTAATAATGATCTTAGAGTTTAACAGTAGGTTAATAGTTGAAGAAAGGATAATAACTGTTCTCGTGAGAGGAATAAGTCAGTTTAATTGCATTTCTAGCAAGGAATGACTTTCATTTCTTTAAGAAACAAGTCGTTTTGGCAAATTTACTCAAAACAATTTGCATTGTATACTCGTGAACTGCCATTCTGTATGATTTGTATTTCAGTTACAGCCAAACATGAATAGCCTTAAATATAATTTAATTGTCAGAAAACAAAACTTGAGAAGGTGGTCCCTTACTTAATAATTTACATGGCATGTACTTTCGACGATGTAACCGTGTGACTACGACTATTTACATGCTTTGCCTATGAGTGATGTTTAATGTCGAAGTGCCACAAAAAGCATTTCTCAGAAAGCCTTAAAATCTCAGTTTATTCTTTATTCTTTAGTTTCATAGCGTAGAGCAGGATTGTTTTGGCTTTCTTTTCGTCAGCCTTGTTTTATTTGCGAAGAGCCGTGTGCTCATTCCCGCTGCTGTGCAGGTGCGAAAGCCGTGGCAGAGGCACACCGTCAAGTTCATGTTTAGCTGGTCCCACCTCCACAGTCAAAGTTAATGAAACCGAAGTCTTTATTCCAATTCCAACTTGGAATCAGATTAGTACTACATTTGATGACTTATTATTTGTAACATCGGTTATTGACTTTTTGGATCTATGTAAGCACACTTGACTGTCTTTTATGTGTGGATTACTGCATTCTGTTGATTATTTTGTGGTTGGTTTTATCCCTTTGATAACTGTGTGAGTGTAAAAACCTAAAGCTCTAAAGCTTCTTAGAAACAATGAATAGTACGTGTGTATGTTCTTAAACTGTCGCAGCTCTCAGTGAGTCACTGCTGTTACTGAGAGTATCTTACGTTCAGTTTCCCAAACATTTTGGGGGAAAAACAAAAGGAAAGTACAGATAGTTTAGATTTCGCTTGCTTCTATGAATCTAAAAGCAGTCATTTCTATGCGAAATTTTATTTGCTCTTATTATAGAAGAAAAAGGGAAAATGAAGGCTAGCCTAATACAAAATGCTCAAGAAAACAAATGCTAGGAAGAGTTTCATTTTGCCATGTTATGTTAACTGTTTATTCCATGGACTAGTACATATCTTTAAATTACAAAAAAGAAAAAAAATCACTTGCCGTCGATGGCTTGCCGGGAGGGGACAACCCACATTCACACGGGGCCTGGGGGCCTGAGGACAGGACTGCCCAAGCCAGCTGGCTTTAAAATGGAAAGTTTAAGTAGCATGGGTAGCACGAAGTACAATTCAAGGCTACTAGGAAGTATACGTGGGATCGCTCATGCTTCTCTTTATTACACTTGTATCTATTACTAGTTTTGAACATAAATATCTTTTTCAAGTGGAAAAACAGCTTTAGTGTATGAGAGCTTATGTAATCCTGTTTATTTTTTCAATGCTTTCTGTAACATTAGATAAGAAAAATCCTCCTTTTTAAACAGTAACAGAAATGCACTATATATAAAATATAATTTGTGATATTTCAGCACTGGGACAGGAAACTTAATCTTCGCAACCACAAAGGGAAAGCTTTTGTGCCTTGTTACTTGGTTCCAGTACCGATAGTGGTTTTAGAATCTTCCATGGGAGACTTCTTATATTCAGCTCTTTGGTTTATTATCTTAATCTTCAACTCGAGGCACATATATGTGTTTATATGCTCACATATGGACTGAAAAATCAGTTAACGTCCTAAGTGACATATAGGGCATATGTTGGCAAAAAGCGTATTGTAAAATTGGATTTACATTCAGTGTGTTTGGGAATGTATAGCATGTAAATTATTTCATATATTATTTAAAAGTAATTAAATGTTCACGTTTTACTTTGAATGTTTTTCTTTTGGGAAAGAAACAAATGGGATCAAGTTGTAGTTGTGTTTTTTTCCCGTCACCTAGGCAAATGGACCTGCACATTATACTAATTATAACAGTACCAGGTTGGAGAAGTTCATTTTCCAAAAGATGGATATTGATAACAACATATACAAAAGTAATTTCCAAACTATATAAAAGACTTTAAGGTTTAGCAGATATAGTTGATTATTTCCTTCTGTGCTCCTGTCTCTGTCAGATGTGACAATTAGCATTTTGTTGTGTGTGCCTTTGCCAGCCTGTCGCTGGAAGGCAGTGTCCAATGAGCACATAATTGGAGGTTAAATATCTCACCAAAGCCAGCTCTGAGGGGAAGTAGGAGGTAAATGATTGGCATAGAAGGGTATTCATTTTATTTGGGGGTGTTTTGAACAGGTTAGCTAGGCTCGAAGTAGCTCGGGGACTCTTGACTAAATAAAGATGAAGGGAAGCCTTTCCCCCCCCGCCACCCCACCCGAATTCTCTTTATTTGATGGGGTAGCCAGACAGGGAGTAGTGTCAGGGTAGCTTTATTTTTTAAAGACTACTTTAGATTTTGGAGCACCTATTTAGCACAGTTCGAGGTTCACAGCACAATTGAGAGGAAAAGTCTGGAGAGTTCCCATCTCTCTCCTGTGCCCACACATTCATAGCCTCCCCCATCATCAACACCCCCCGCCAGAGCGGTGCATTTGTTGCAACGGATGAACCTACACTGACGCATCATAACCATCAAAAGTCCATAGTTTACCTTAGGATTTGCTTCCAGTCCATATTCTGTGGGTTTGGACAAATCTATAACGACCTGTAAGACTACCATACAGAGTGTTTTCACTGCTCTAAAAATCCTCGGCGCTCTGCCTGTTCGTCGCTTCCCCTGGCACCCCGGGTCGTTCTACTGGCTCTGGGGTTTTGCCTTTCCCAGAATGTCATATGGTTGGAATCGTGCGGTACACAGATCGGCTTCTTTCACTTAGTAACATGCATTTAAGTTTCCTTTGTCTTTTCATGGCTTGATAGCTCTCTTTTTTTTAGTGCTGAATAATATTCCATTGTCGGGATGAACCAGTTTACTAATCCATTCTCCCACTGAAGGACAGCTCGCTCGCTTCCAAATTATGGCCATCGTGAATAAAGCTGCTATAAACATCCATGTGCAGGTTTTCGTGAAGGCAGACGTTTTTGGCTCCTTTGGGTAAACATCAAGGAGTGTGACTGCTGGAGCATATGTAAGGGTACGTTTAGGAGAAACTGCCAAGCTCTCTTCCAAAGTGGCCGCACCGTTTGTCCCCACCAGCCCTGCGTGAGCGTCCCTGCGGCCCCACATCCTCACCAGGATCTGCTGTCGTCAGGCTTCTGGATTTTGTCCATCCTGATAGGTGGGTAACTAGCTTGGCCTTTTTGACTTTTTTTTTTCCAGAAGGTCTGCTTTAGAATACCGAAAAACTCGCAGTTGGCAGCCTAAGTTGGATGAGATGCCCGTCATCTGTAAAACTCAGTTGCAGACTTTTATCCATGACGTTGATCCATTTCATTAGCCAAGTTTTAGCTGTTTTGTTGGCTTTTCCAACTAGTAGTCTGTCTCCTGGTTCATTTATATTACCACGGCTCAGTAAGATGCTTGTATTCAGCTGTCTTCTTTGCCAACACCTCCACCTTCCAAGATGTTTTCCTTCCTCCAGAAATAATGTCTTCCTAAGATGGCCACACATTTCCCAAGCCCTTTCTTCTTGACTGCAGTTTGAGATACGTTGTTGGTATTTCTTCACTCAGACAGAGATGCTGTCTATGGGAATGAACACTAATCGGTGTTAACGGTCCCAAAGCCACGCAAACCTCCTTGCATGCAGCCTTTTCTGTTGATTCTCCACGTGACACTCCGCTCTAGTGTGGACTGTGGAACCGACTCTGCCGGTCTCAAATCTTTTATCTCCCCAGGCACATTTAAGTTGAAATGCGTGAAATTCTCTGGCAAGGAAGTGCCAAGGGAGACTTGATTTGTTCATCTGTATGGTTGTAATAATGAACGTGTGGAACTTAGAATGGGGGTCATTGAACCCCCAGGTGTTGGCACTCACCTCCAAACGCGAGGCAAGTGTGGTTACCGCAGTGGACCGCAGAATCAAAGCAGTGGGCAGAATAGTCTCACTCCCAACGACCTATGGCACTGGCTCATTCATAATGGTGTTTCTAGAAGTGAAATGGACAGGAAACAATAAATTCTTACTTGTAAGCCTGTAGAAACAGTAAAGTTCTAGGTCAAGTGGACAGAAGTCTAACCTGAATCATAAAAATGGAGAACCACAGCCTCTCGGTTTCCAAACGTAAGATAGTTTGCAATCCCAGATCCCCTTGAATGAAGGGGAGGCTGGTCCCCTGGAGGAAGGACCCCAGTATGCTACCCCAATTTCATTCCATTCATCTTCCTCACAGCCTTCTCCAAAGGGACTTGCAGCCTTAGCAGAGTGTGCCCTGGGGAAGAAGGATTAATAATCAGACCTTTGCGAACTGCTGGATGCTGGCTCTGAACTAATGTTAATTTCAGGAGACCTAAAAACTCATTCTGATCCACCAGTAAGAGCTGGGACTTGTGGAGTTCAGGTTATCAATGAAGTTTTCGCTCAGGTCTGTCTCCTCCCAGTGGGACCAGCGAGTCCCCAAACTATCCTGTGGTTATTTCCCGCAATCGCGAATGCATAGTTGGAGCAACACACTCAGCAGATGGCAGAGTCCCCACCTTGGTGCACTGACCCATGCAGTGGGGGCTATTACGGTGAGAAAAGCCATGTAGAAGCCACTGGAACCACCTCTACCTAGGAAAACAACAAGCCGAAAGCAGCACTGCGTCCTGATGGGATGGCTTGAAAGATGCAGGGGTGGTGAATCCTATCACGTCCTCATTCAGCTTGCTTGCCGGCCTGTGCAGAAGGCAGACGGATCTTGGAGAATGACAGTGGATTATTATAAACTCAACCAGGTAGTGACTCCAATTGCAGCTGCTCTACCAGATGTGGTTTCATTGCTTGAGCAAATTGACACCTCCCCTGGTACCTGGTATGCAGCTGGCATCTGGTAAATGCTTTTTTTCTCAATACCTGTTAGCAAAGACCACCAGAAGAAGTTTGCTTTCAGCTGGCAAAGCCAGCAACACACCTTCACTGTCCTACCCCAGGGATATATCAAACCTCCAGCCTTTTGTCATTAGTTAATTCACAGGGATCTCGATCACCTTTCCCTTCCACAAGATAATCACACTGGTCCATGGACAGAATTGTGCTGATTGAGTCTTATCCCGTTATGCCGATTAGAGCAAGACAGTGAGTGATTCCTTCCCACCATGAGGAGACAGACCTGAGCTAAGACATTTGCATGCCAGCAGGTGAGAAATAACATTCAGGGGCTTTCTGTCTCAGTGACATTTCTAGGAGTTCGGTGGTATGGGACAGGTAGAGATGTGCTTTCTAAGGTGACGAAAGAGTTGTTGCATCTGGCCCCTCCAGCAACCAAAGCAGCACAAGGCCTAGTGGTCCTTGTATACTTCATCTGAGTGTGTGAGACCGGCCCATTCACCAAATGACCCAAAAAGATACTAGTTTTGAGTGGGGCCCAGAATAAGAGAAGGCTCTGCAGCAGGTCCAGGCTTCTGTGCAAGCTGCTTTACCATTTGGGCCATCTGGTCTGGCGGGTCCAACGGTCCTGCAAGTCTCGGTGACAGATGGGGATGCTGTTTTGAGCCTTTGGCCAGTCCCTATAGGTAGATCTCAATGCAGGCCCTTAGGGTTTGGGAGAAAAGCTCTTCCATCCTCCGTAGCGTATGCTCTGAATCAGTGTCCAACATATGGCGCCGTTTCTCCCATCTGAAGGAATCCAGGGATAGAGATGGGGCGGCACCCCTCACCAGTACCCCTAGTGATCTGCTTTCCATTCCTGCAATGTCATGCTCTGCCACCCGACAGGTCTTAGTGCCACCAGGAGACTCAACAGTGTTCCCATTGAACTGGAAGTTAAGGCTGCCACCTGGCCGCTTTGGGGTCCTCGTGCCTCTGAACGAACAGGCAAAGAAGAGAGTGACTGTGCCGGCTGGGGTGACTGATCCCGCCTAGCCAGGGGAAGTCATACTGCCGTTCCACAGTGGAGGCGAGGAATACAGGGGGTCCCTCTGGGCACCTCTAGTATTACCATGCCCTGCAAGGTCAATGGAAAGCCACAGCAATCCGATCCAGGCAGAACCGGTAATGGCCCCGACCCTTCGGGAACGGAGGTTCGGGTCACTCCACCAGGTAAACAAACATGGTCAACTAAGGTACTCGCTGCAGCCAAAGGGAACGCATGAGGGCTAGTGGGAGAAGGTACCTGTAACTGCCAGCAGTGACCAAGCGGCCAGTTACGGAATGAGGACTTAATAATGGTCGTGTTTCCTGCTCATTTGTGAATACATTTGCGTGTGTGCATATGAAAAAATATCTTTGTTTTCTTTCCTCTCTTATTCCCTTCTGGAATAGCATACAACGTATTCACTTTCTATCAGAGTATTTAAGTATTGTGAATTTTATATCATAATATTTAAGTTGCAGGACATGGAGGAGAAAAGTAAACCACTCGAGGATTTGATTTCCTTTTCTGGGGCAGGGGTTCGTGCTTTTTCCGTCGTATACAGGACAGCTGTATCATGTTAGGCAGAATTAAAACCTTGTAATTGTCTTTATTTGGAGATTAAGTATGGTTTAAAGAGATAAGGACTGAACTTGTGCTTAATTTCATGTGTCAACTCGACTGTGTCATGGGTCCCTAGATGGTTGGCCTAATGTGATTTCTGGATGTGTCTGTCGGGGGTTTTCCAGATGAGACTGGCGTTTGAATTGGGAAACTCCGGAACTCCAGTGTGGGTGGGTGCCCCCAATCCACTGAGGGCCCGAATGGAACAAAAGGTGGGGGCAGACAGAATGCACCCCTTCTGCTTGATGCTTGAGCTGGGACAA